GCCCTTTAAGGGTCATTAGAATACCAGAGGGTTTGCACACCTACCTTCACCCCTGCCTCTCCCATGCACACAGCAATTCCCCTGGTGGTAGATCTTATAATTTATAGGTAAAGAAATAGGCTAGGGCCAGTTAGATACCTCACCTAGTCAAGGCACTTGCTGTCAAGTCTGATACCCTGCATTTGGTTCCTGGAGTCACACGATGGAGACTTGGTGGCAGGTACCTTCACACGGCGAGCCATCACACAGGCTCACTGTAACTGGTGAACCTCCTTCGCAGCGTTAGCTTTGGGAATTCTCTTATAGTTTTTTAAAACCTTTGGTATTTCTTCCCACGACAATCTCTCTCTCTTTTTCTTAACGCATTGAAGAGCTGAGAGGTGGCTTAGCTGTGAAGAGCACTGGCTGCTCTTTCAGAGGACCAGAGTTTGGTTCCCAGCTCAGGGCATCCGACACCCATGTCTGGCTTCTGAGGGCAGCTGTGCTCTTGTGCACACACGCACACGTGAGAACACCCGCACTCACAGCTGTTTCTTATATAATTGCCACAAATAACTCCCCTCTTCTGGAATAAAGCCTCTCCCAGTCCACCCGTTACCCTCCTTTAAACCGGAACACTTAAATTGCCTGTCATGAAATGAGCCAGAATTTTGTCTTAACAGTTTGTGATTTTGAAGGCCCAACCAGCCATTCCCTAGAGTCAAATGTACTTGCTTTTTAATTTCTCTAATTCCCCAAATCTCTAAGCATATCTTGCACCTAAGTGGTGTTTAATTTTTATTTTGAGACAGGCCTTGCACAGACTCACCATGTAGCTGAAGATGGCCTTGAATTCCTGATTTTCCTGTCTCCACACTTCCTGAGCACAGAGAACACAGTGTGTGCACCACACCTGGCTTTGCAGTGGCCCGTTCTCTTTCAGTGCGTGTTTGTGACGTGCAGCTGGCGTGCGGACAGAGGAGTATGCACATGGGGCCACTTTTCCCCAAGATTTATTTACTTTGTGCGTATGAATATTTTGTCTGCTTGTGTCTACATCAGAAAGGGCATCACATCCCCTGAGCTGTATAAAGATGGCTGTGAGCCGTCTCTCTGGCTCCTCAGCTTGTTCTTTTGAGACACAAGAGTTCCTCAGGTGCTCCAGGCGGGCTGTCCAGGCAGCCCCAGAGATCCTCCTTCTCAGGCTTCCAGTGCTAGAATTACAAGCAAGGCCCATCAAGCCTGGCACCTAAAAGCTTCTCAAACTATTTATCACATGTGTTCCTGTAAGCATGCACTTGGGAACACATATGTCACAGTGTCTGTGTGAAGATCAGATGACACGGGACCTGATTAGCTCCTTCCACCGTGTGGGCTTCAGGGACCAGACTCAGTTCTCTGGCTTGTGTGCACCTTTAGACCTCTGTGCAGATGCCTTTGCCTCTGAGCCAAGTCAGCAGCCCGTGCCTGGTTTCGGGAGCTCTGGAGGTCACACTCAGGTCCTCATGCTTCACGGCAAGCACTTTATCAACTGGCCCCAGCCTCTTGTTTCTGTCTGAAATTTTTTATTTTATGTATTTATTTATTTTTCTGTTTATTTGTTTGTTTGTTTTGTTTTTATCGAGTCAGGGTTTCTCTGTGTAACCTTGGTTGTCTTGTAGACCAGGCTGGCCTCAAACTCAGAGAAATCCACCTGGGATTAAAGGGGTGCATTATCATTGTCCGGCATAAAAATTTTATTTTTGACACAACATCTCTCTGTATAGCCCAGGCTGGTCTGGAACTTCCTGTTCTCCTACCCCAGCCTTCTGAGCACTGAGATGCTTCCAGTTCTTGTGCTGCCAGACGGAAACCTGGGCTTTGGTTTCTTTCTTTTTATGAGAAGGTTATTTATTGTTATTGTGTGTGTATATGATGTGTGGAGGCTGGAATCAGTTCTCTCTTTCCACCTCTATGTAGGTTCAAAAGATCAAACTCAGGGCGTTTGCAGCTTATGCTCTATCTGCTGAGCCATCTCTCCAGCCCTGGGCTTGGTTTCCAGTATGGAGGGAACTGGTTTTTCCCAACATCATTTATCCTGTGATCCCCTGTCCATCTGAGCTGCTGTTGAAACTTATGTTAACTCCTAGACTTACACATCCACCTGCCACGAGTCCCCTCCGGATGTGGCTCTTGGGCCCGCTTGTCTGGTCTTTCCTTCCATAAGTTCACCCTTGCGTGAGCATCAATCACTTCTGCCTGTCAGGGCGCCAGGGTGAGAAGCTTGCTATTGCACCACTTCAGCCTGTGCCCCTCTGTCTTACAACACCAGGCAGGAAGGCGAGAACCTTCTCCACCCTAGACATTAAGGGACTGTTCAGAGAAGCCTGCCTCCTCCCCGCTGGAACCAGCATCCACACGGAAAAGACGCATCCTCTTGTGAGAAGAGAAAGTCAAGGCTGTGAAAAAATGGATGCCATGATCAGCTCAGCTTCCTCCTTCTGGAAACTTCTGTTCCCACGCCCTCCCCTCTGTGTCAGCACAGACACCAAAGGTGTCTCTGCCACTTGCATTTTATTTTCCTTGGTCCAAGCTGAGGTGAGAGAAACCCACATGGGCCTGGATAAGGAGGAAGTCCCCGGGAGCCTGGGCGACAACTGACTTGTGGTCCTGTCACTAGTTTTAATTTATTTTCTTTTTTTAAAGCAATCTTTTTTTTATTTTACATATCAATCTCAGTTCCCCCTCCCCTTACTTCCCCTACCTTCTCCCCACCCCACCCTCAATCCGCACCTCAGAGAAGGTAAGGCCTCCCATTGGGAGTCAACAAAGTCTGTCAAATCACTTGAGGCCAAGCCCTTCCCCATTATATCTAGGCTGAGCAAGGTTTCCCTCCATAGGGAATGGGCTCCAAAAAGCCAGTGGTCCCACTACCAGAGGCCCCACACACTGCCCAAGGGTGGCTTTTATTTTTGTGGTATAAGGTGGTTAGTCCTCCCCAGGATATCACCTTCCAAGTGAGAAACGGGGGAGGGGTATTTCAACTTTACCATCTTCTTCCTTTTAAACAGAGCTTATGACAAGCCTGCACATAGCACAAGCTGGCTTTGAATGCTGTACAGTTCGTGGTGACCCTGAAGTCTTGTGCTCCCTGCTCCCCTCTCCACATTCGGGATTACAGCTTGCAGCAACACCACACCTTGTTTACGCATCGCGAGTGTTAGGCGAGCACTCCACCAGAGGAGCTACACCCATAGCACCCTTGTCACTGAGACTGGTTCCCACCCTGTAGCCCAGGCTGGCCTCAATCTCCAGACCCTCCCTGCCTCTGTCTCCTGAGTATGGGATCACAAGTGTCAATTACTACACTCAGCTTTCTTTGTTCTTTCT